TATTGAAAATACCATGGCTTGGGTCAGGCACACCTTAGAAGATGTTAATAATAAAGCACATATGCAAAACATTTTTAAGTCTTTGGATAACTAGATTTTAGTAAAGTTGAATCTTATTGTTTTTAACAGCTCTGTTATAATATGGTGCACATACCATACAATTTATGTATTGGATTGTGCATTTCAGTGCTTTGAAGTAGATTCTTGGGTTATCACCAGAATCCTCATTAAGAACATTTTTCTCCTTCCTAAAGGAAACTCCATCCATCTTCATTCTTGGCTCCTCCCCTCTCCATACGCTTGCTCTCCTAGCCAGCCACCAGTCTACTTTCTGTTGGTCTATATTTGCCTTGTGTGACCCTCTAAGATAAGCACTGAACTGCTAACGGCAAGGTTGGCAGTTCAAACCCACCAGTTGCACCTCCAAAACCTTATACAGGGTCGCTATGAGTCGGAACTGACTCGATGGCACTTAACAACCACAAACATCTGCCTGTTCTATTCTGGATGTTTATAAGGAACCAACCCTACAACAGCTGGTCTTTTGTGACAGGTTTTGTCACTTAGCATCCTGGTTTCAAGGTTTGTCGAGTGTTTTGTTCTAAAAGAATGTAACTGCTGTTGAAATCACACATGGCAACCCCAAGTGTGTCAGAGTGGAACTGTGTGTGCTCCATTGGTTTTCAGCGACTGATTTTTTTGGAGGTGCCTGTAGGTGGACTTGAACCTCCAACCTTTCAGTTAGCAGCTGAGCACATCATTATAAAGCATAAGGAGCTCCGTGCTTTCAGAGATTCATCCCTGTATCACTTGCTTTCTTTGCTGTTGAACTAGACTCAGCCTTTGTTTGGGAGTTGCTGGTCACTGGTTCCCCTGATCAGCCTGCCCTTGGGGCCAGCTGGAGTGGTCTTGGTGGTGGTGGTGGGGTTTGCATCTGGCCCTGGTCACCTACAGCTTCTCCTCAGAGCCTGCTTTTCTCCGGGTTAGTGGATTCCGTGGGGGGGG